GTGTTTGGCTGTAGGCCACGGGGTCCAGCAGGGTGAGTTCAGGAGGCTTCCTCAGGACTGTCCCAGCATTTTCTCCCACTAGCCCGGTAAATAAGATCTCATTACTGCCTATTTACTCATCTACTTCCCCAGCTCAGGCCCACCAGACTGTGCCAGTTTAGTCCGGGGGAATTCAGGCTTGAAACCAACAAGGAGCAGCGCAATTTCCTCAGTCCATCCCGTCCCAATCACTCGCAGCGAGCCATAGAATCTGAGCCCTATGGGGGCCACGAGAACTCACTTTGGCATGAAGGGGGGTAGAGTGATGGCGGGGGGGGGGGTTGGAAAGGGGAATGCCCCCCCCCCCCTGCTATATACCATCATGGCTATCTTCAAAATACTAGGTTTTTAGTATTCATGGCTTTTGAATGGATGTGATTTAGCCAAGTTTTGCATGTTTATGAAATGGGATCATTCCACACGGGAGGGTGTTCACTGGGCCTGACTTTATCCGCGTCTCGGTGTCTCACAGTGTTGAGAAGAGGACACATGTTACTCTTATATCAGCACAGATTCAATAAGAGTTGTATTCGTCAATGCAGATACTGTCGGAGTGCAGCTATTAACACGTTTCGTCTCTACGGCACAGTCGGTGTGAAAGGTGAGGCTGAGGTTGCGGCTTCCTTTAACCCCTTCCCCGCTGTTCTGGATTTGAGCACATCAAAGGCACAAATCCTCGGACCGGGGGTGGGGGGGGGGATCCCACTGCATCCTGGCAACTTGATACGTCTTGTTCAAATAGAGTAATCTTCAGGCTTAGCCATGAAAGGCCTAACCTAGTGCTGTCCCCGAGTGGTGTGCCGGGCCTAAACACCCGCACTCTGATGCAATCGCCCCCTCAGTCATCGCTAATGATACTTTTCATGAACTAACATCAGCTTGGCTGAGTTTTGACCAGGTTGGCAGCGACATAATTATGTCTAGTTCTGAAAACAAGTAGTTCATTCATTGATTCGTCTATTGATGGAAAAGGAATCGGAGCAGGATGTTCTGTTATATGTCATTATGAATTGAATAGTTTTTAACTTTGTACAGCACATCATGGATTCTGGAAGAAATTGTGGGAGCAATTCTAAAACTATTTTCTTACATTTTATAGACAAATGATTCTCAAACAGTTGATAGTTTTGTCTCTTCGTCATACATTTTGAGTCCTTCGTTTTCCTCCATTGTATGTTTTTTTGTTTTTTTTTGATTGTTTATTACTTCTGTGTAAGTAGGTTGCTTTATGCTAGAACGTGAATCTCTCATCATCCACATGATCAGTGCTGTAAAGGGCCTTTTAAAAAATGGCCACTCCATGCTGCTGAAGTTGAGCGGAGGTCTGACCCTCTATGTAAGGTACCTGCTCAGTTCAGTGTGTTTGTCCTCCAGGTTTAAGCCAACGTTATTCCTTTGAGTCCTTGAATAGCTAAACACAAACCACTTTGTCAACACGAATGCAAAACTCAAAACAGATTTTCATCGCCGGTATATTTCGTCTTCCGCTCTGCATCGTATGTTCCGTTCTGCCAGTGGAAGCTCTCTTGCGCTCTTGTTTTCATCGTGTTTCTCTGCAGCTCTTCCACCTGCGTGTCTCTCTCTTGCTGGGAGCAGCCTGGTGCGGGCCGGCTTTGACACAAACAGGAACCTAAAGAGGAAGATGCAACGTGTTCTCTGGTCCTTGTCTGACTTGCCGTTCCACCTCTTCATCAGCCCACCATCCTTTCCCCAGGAGTCCACTTAGTGGGGGTGTTTTACCAACTGTTTCCACTCGGCAACATGCACCGCAGAAGCTTTATGGTGCTTATTTCTTTGCTGATCCTATCCCCGCGCCTCCATCTAGCTATGATGTGCTCAACTTGGCACAAACTCACTAGATGTGGACTTCACTCAAAGTGTATTATGGTCGTTCCAGAGGGAGTTGTAGTTCAGCATTTAATACTGCAATGAGTAAGCGAGGGGAATTGAAAGAAAGAAAAGAAAACGCTTCTACACACTTGAATCAAAGTAATATTTGTCTTTATAGTCGAGCCTTTGGTTTAACAGATGTTCATCCAGCGGAAGGAGGAATGGTTGAGCATATACAGTATGCTGATGCTCATAGGGAGAATCTCCATATGTGAGAATTATAACCTACAGGAATCATAATCTTTATAGTAAGTTTAAAGTTTAAGGCCTAAATGAGTTCTTTCATTAGATTCAGGATCACAGGTGGTGGAAATATATACTTTTAAGAATACAGATATAAAGCAGAAACTGACTACAGCTGTTTGATGGTTACCCTCTTCATAAGAACCGAACTTAACAGGACAGACGGAGACAGGGAGGACAGAGAGGACGACAGTCTTAAGTTGTAGAGAGAAAGGACGAGAGAGGGACAAGACAATGAGAGAACCCCCCCCCCATCGCCAGAAGCATCCTGTTTGTGCGAGTGCGGCATTGGGACGCGCCCATAAAGAATGTGTAAGCTGATGGCGTCTGTCAGGCTCTAGCAGGCTGTTATCCAGCCATTAGATCAGATTTATCTTCATTCCCATTCGCTCGACGTCTGCCCTGAAAGCTCATTTGTCAAGGCCAGGCGGCAGGTTTTTCTCCCATCTATAAACCCCCCCCACCACCACTACCACCACCACACATCTGTAGGAGGATGTACTGGAAAATACAGTGTGACATGACAAGAGGGGGGAGGGGGGGGGGGCAGCTAGAAGGAGGGAGCAGGAGGGAGGAGTTTTGGGGGTAGAAACTGGCAGCCACTTAACTTGGCACTGAGAAATAATCCATGCATCGCCTTCGAGCAGCGCCACGCTCTGTGATTTATTGGCTGTTGTTTCAAAAGTTGGAGACACTCAGTGTCCTCATCTCTTGCCTTTTTCTTCATGACCTTTTTTTTTTTTTCTTCCATCTCTTCCTTCCTTCCTTCCGTCGACCCGTATTTCAGTCGTTCTTGGTACTGTGATGTGTTTCTAGGACTGGGCGTGTGATCAAGAATCCAGAAAAGTCATGGGAATTAGTTCATGTGATGGTTCATACAGTACGGTCTTTCAAGGGCCGACGTGTAGATTCTACACAGGCTTCACTTTACTGTATTTGATATGAAATTCAGTGGGAAGGCACTAAATGCAGATTTAACTGTGTTTCAGAGCACGTTTACTTCCACTTCTTGCATCATAATACAAGTTTAGGGACATTTTCTCTGCGTTTTCTTATTTTTTTTTTTCCTTACCTGCCGTCTCTTTATGGTGCCAAATAGTAATCATGTTCCTGATTGCCTGACCACTGTCATGTAAAATAAAGATGTAGCAAAGGAGGGGGGGGGGGATGTAATGACTCAATCTGCCGATTGATTGGCTGGAATCTCTGCTAATTTCCCGTTCCTTGCCGGGGTTTCGACCCATGATTGAGTGTCGTCTTCTTACCTTGTTGTTTGGCGGCCCGGTGCTGGAAATTGAAAACACGCTCCGTCATTTGGATTAACAACAACAGAGCGAGGGGAAAACGGAAAGGCTCCAATCACAGGCAGACAGCCTCCTAATTAACGCTGCTTGACGAATCCAACAGCTTGTAAATAAAGATGAACGGTTGAAGGAATTTAAAAGACTGCCAGTGGGTTTATTATAAGTTTACTTGGCGAGAGCCAGGCGTCTGTCCTAAACATGAGGACATGAGGGACATCTACTGTACCTAAATCTATAATTCTTTCTTTTGTTTTGCTCTTTCTTTTAAAATGTGATGACATACTACCTCTATCTCAACACAGGGTATGACTCTATTATCCATTCTAAGCCCCGGTCATATTTTATCACGCACCCCTCAGATTCATCAACAAGTTTCCCCATTTTCTGCCGTTTTCAGAGATCTAAAATGGCCTCAGAGGCAGCACACTTTATCTTCCATCCACTCGACATCATTCTCCCCGCCTCCAGGCGTGCAAATTACTCCCAAATAAACAATGTCCCTAATTTATTTGGTATAATCTTTGGCTCATTCTGCCTTCCTCTTTGCAGTGACAGGAGAGGAAAAGCCATCTCATCTCCAGGCCCCCCATCCAATTACGTCAGTAATTACTTGTCATAGCCACTTTCTTTCCATTTAGCTGCATTATTCTGGCCCTTTGGAGAATTGGTTTGGGGAAAACACGATGTACAATGTATTATAAATGGTAAGTTGACCAAAGGGAGGGCAAACGAGATCTCTGAGATGGATGCAGCCAGCTTAGTGATCGCGGCGAGGCGATGCAGGTGGATATCTGGCCACTTGGTGGTACTGTTGCACCACGGTGAGGTTGCAGCTGGACTATGAGTGCTGCTCACCTGAAATACCAATAAGAATCGGCTTGAATTCTTCACAGGCTCTTATGTACAGATAATGAGGTTTATGTGCTCCTTGTGTATTGAAAATAGGAAGAACTGACATTTGCCTGCAGCAGAAGTGATACATTGAAGGTCAAGACAAAGCTGAGAAATGAAGCAAATAAAAAACGATATTAAATAGGAGTTTTAGATTTACAGAGCTAGAACTGTGCCTGTAAGTCTGTAAAGTCTTCTACAGCTCAGTCTGTCATTTCACTTGACTTCCAGGACTGCGGACGTATCTCTTCTCCTTTTGCGCTCCACATATTTTCACGTTCTTGCTCATAAGGTGTCCTTGGTGTCTGGCAGAGGAGACGAGTGGGTGACAGACGTGAGCCCTCTAACAGCTGTCTGGGGGGGGGGGCTGCCCCCCCCCCCCCCCCCCCTCGCAGAATACGGCACTAGAGCCTTTACCTCCAGGGCCCAGCACATCTAAAACTCCGGAACGCTAAATCAGTATGGATAGCTGAATGGAGAAGCAGCCAAAACATGAAAGGGGAGCATTTTATCTTTATTGTGGTGCCCCCACACACACACACACACACACACACACACACACACACACACCCCCTCGCCCCACTGTGGCGAGGGTGGCACCGGCAGACTGGCATCTGTATGACCGAGGGGAGTCGCAGCAAGGGGGCGGCTCACCAATCGCTCTGTAAGATTGCTTGCCGTTAGCCGGTATTTCCGCTCTGATGCAGGATAAATGGGAAATCAAGTCACCAGGTGGGCAGCTGTGCCACCGCCTGCCTGCCTGCCTGCCTGCCTGCCTTTCAGGCGATGGGAGTTATGAAGCATAAATATTCATGTCTATCTTCACTAGCTGTTGGCAGTCCATATTTTTGTTGACATATGGTGGATGGGTTTGGAACTTGTAGCTGGGAGTGCGGTTACTGAGGTGTGCATGTGAGTCATGCCTGGATCTATCAGTGTGTTTGATGGAAGCGCGTGTTCTTCGGACGCAGATACACAGTCAGCCTGCTGACCTTTTTTTATTTACCTGTTGCTCAGGTGTCATGTCTGCCGTGTGTACTGGTTTGTTAATTGGCACCGATTGGACGCTCATTGAAGCGCCTGTTAGCCCGCCAGCACCATGGCCACCTGCCACACATTGTGGATATCAAAAGCCCTTTGCAAATGCAGTACTGTAGATTGAGATTGTGCGTGAGGCGACACTGTTGACCCGTGCTCTTTCCGTCCTGTAGGTGGCGTGTCTGATCCGGGTGCCCACGGAGGTGGTCAAACAGAGGACCCAGGCCTCCCCGTCATCCACCACCTACCGCATGCTGCTGGCTACACTCAGAGCAGAGGTACACAGCAATCAGACGCACTTTGTTAGAGGATAAATCTGGTTTATTACCACTTTTTTTTTTTTTTGTTTCTCTGTAGTTTTGGCCATCACTCCTATCAGAAAGGCTTTAAAACCATCATGAGTAAAATGTTATCACGACCTGTAGAAATAAAGGCCGTGTCTATGAAAGTTTTAATAACATGGAATTATTTATTTTTAAATATTTTTTTTCCCATATTGGGATTTCATGTGGTCGTTGTTGTGAAATATTGAACTCGGCACCATGTAAAATGAGTAAAGTAAATATTCATCATTTCTTACAGAAAAGCATTGTTCTGTTTATTGAATCGTAAAGTTTTGTCTGTGATTGTAATAAAAAGTGTGTTCTGTTCTCTCTGCTCAGGGTGTGCGAGGCTTGTACAGAGGATTCGGTTCGACGGTTCTCAGAGAGGTAGGATTACTTCAAATGTGTTTTTTCTCCCTCACCTCTTCATCCTTTTATCTCAGTTGGTCTGAGTGCCGTCCACCAGTGATATAAGATCGCACGCTTGTTATGTCTTTGGTGAAGTTTAGTTTTAGGTAATTGCGAAGCTCATCTTACAGCTACTGCATCCATTTCCAGAGTTTATTCTAAAGACAATTACTCCTTAAAGGCCGTGTAGTGAATTCTTTTTGATAGGCTGGACGAATATTGAGGCTTTCCACTCTTCTGTCTGAAGACATTTTAATTTCTCTCGGGCTTTATTGAGGTAGGAAATATTGATTTAGTTCATCTCATTCAATTACGTATGCAAGATGCTCTGCCCCCTTTTAGAAGTGCATCTGATTAATTAATGCAATTAGTTGCGTTATAAATGCAAAACGAAACACGGATAAATGAGCATCGGGCTTCGCTCTCGATGGCCGCTCGCCTTTTTGTAAATGAAAAAGCCACCCTTGTTCTTTGATTCATGATCTTCTGTTTAATTGCACCTGCAGTGCATGATAACACAAAATAATCGGAGCAAACGCCGCGTAGATCTCTGCCTTGTCTCGCCTCGCCTGATGAGTTTCAATAGAAGTGGAAAAGAAAATGAGAAAGGCGGGCAGAGATGGAGAAAGGAGTGTATGAAGGTGACACTTGTCTTTCCATCCTTTTTTGTGTAATCTAGTCGCCTCCGCTGTGCTAGCCTGTACTTATTTTCTGCCTCACTAAACTGATGTTATTCACGCAAATTCCATCTGGACAGCCGGGGAAAAAAAAAAAGACAACAAGACACTGTGATTTCTCCGAGGGGCTCTGAATAAATGAATACATTTGGAGGCTGGCGCACGGCCTGTATGCATACTAACACTGGCAGATGAAACGCAACGGTGGCGGCAGGGATTTGGGGGCGCGGGGACGGCAAGGGATGCTCCGCGGTGATTGGCTTTGACGTGTGTCAGGAAGGTAATTCATTTTCTCTCGGCCTCCTTCGCTATCCGCCTATCTCCCTGCTTTGGACAAGCGACCCTGTCGAGATAAGTTTATTTACGTGGGACGGCGTCGTGCCGCCCCTCCCTCACCGGCCCACTAATTGGGGTCCTCTCTGTGCTATACATTCATTAGGGCTCAGAAGGCATTTCTGATGGGCATGATATCACATTAGTGCAGGATGTGTGAGGATCGAACACGGTCAGAGAGGGCTGGGGGGGGGGGGGGGTCGGAGGTGTGACTGATTTTGGTGATCTGGTTCACATCGTAGCAACAGCCCATGAACCCAGATCATCGAGAGCAAGATTCAAACAGTTATGGTGGATTTTACACGACACACTCCAACAATGCCCTATGTTTTATTTAGACACTAAATCTGAACTATTGACTAATTGACATTCAATTTCTTTTCTTTTCTTTTGCACCACATTGATCTCTGCTGTGGTCTATACCCTCTCCTTAAAATAAACTGTCAAGTCGTCTGCTGAGTCGGCACTTTTTGGGTTCCAGCTGAATAGAGCATGAAATCAATTAGATTCAGATTGCGGTGAATAAAATTGTGCCGTGAAAAATGACTTTATTCAACTTTTACAAAAAACGCAGGCTTATTAATGAACATCAGTCAGACTTTGTTCAGCATTTTAAAAGTAGAGTACACTTGTTTTAAGTACCAGATTTATGATGTTCATCTTTTGTTCATCAATTGTTCATTTTATGACAATACAATTAACCCAGACTCTATCTATATTTAACCATCTGGTGATACCTGTCGTTGTGACAGGATCCACTATTTCCCCAACACTATTGCTCAGGTGTCTCCTGTTTAATAGTATCACCTTCCACCACTAGATGGCATGCTAAGATTATCACTGTTTTAGATGTTTGCGTCTCATTTCACTCCAATCCCCCCCCCCCCCCCTTCTTTCTGCTCCCCCATTACACCAATCCAGCTTTGTGGCATTTATGAGCCGCAGTCACTGCACTGAAAATGATGGCCTTTTTTAATACCGAGCCCTGTATCTTTTTGATCTGAAAGCGCTGTGAGGCGATCCCGGTTTTGATCTAAACTGCTCCAATTTGAGTTTGAGTAATGAGCCTGAGATGGGTTATTAGATAGTGATTTAGGATTGCGGTGGTACGGGGGGCTGCGGAGGGATAGGTGTAAGTGAAGCTGACGGTGTCTGGCACAGTCGACTGAAGAGCCTGGAACGTCGGCTGATTGACTGCAGCATACGGCTACGCTAAATGCATCTCTCGTACTTGTGCTCTTTCACCTACTCACTCGGAAAGCCACTTTAGTTAAATCCATTTCATATATTTAAGTGGGTAAGCACTCGGACAGGAAGGTAATTGAGCTCTCTAAATGAGACTGAACAGTTTATTAATGAAAAATGTGTCCCCGGTCTTCCTTTTAATGGTGTTACGTATATTTTTTTCTTAGCCAGCCCCTGAATCAGCCTTAACGTTTCTCCACCCCAACAGCTGGGACCTGGCAACCGGAGGTATAAGATCTGGCTGTGGGGCTTATGAAACACCTCTCCATCCAGGTTCCCCCCCACCACATCTCTGCTTCCTCTCTGTCCTTCTCTTCAATCCCCGCTTGATCCCTTCTCTGCTTCCTCCTTTAGAGGGTTTTAGCTGAAGGAAACATTGCAGAGTTGGATTTTAACTACAGATGGGTGGGTGAGAAAAAAAACCAAGAGAACCAGCACACATCACTCCTGAGCAGTAATATTCATCCCGTTTGAGTCGTTTGCAGGTCGAGCCGACCCTCGTTGGAAGAGTGATGGCCTTCTTAAGCCGCAGGGATCGTTTTCTCTTCGTCACTGGATGATCGTCATCTCTTTACCACGCGCTTCACACTGGGAAGTGCCGGTTTACTCCCGCCTGCTGCACCTGTCATTCACATTTGTCTAGCTGTGTAAATGCAATTCTGCTCTTTCTACTGAGCCTCAGCGTGCATCGTGCACCTCTATTACATCTCCCTCATACATTCAGTCCCTCTGGGGTGGACATGTGCTCCATGGCTTCGGCTGCAAATCTAACCAAAGCTCAGGAACCTTCCTGAGATCAACATGTGGTGAGAGCTCAGTTGTTGCATTGTGTACGTTGAGTTATGATGAATCCGTGCAGAGCAGCGAGGGGGGGGTTGGGATTGTTTGCTTCCTGTGGTGGGATGCAGAGATTGAAACCGAATCAACAGGCATAGCAGCACAGAGCCGAGCTGACCCCTGCGTGGCCCTTTTTGGAAAGGAGCCACTTTTCACCGTCTGTGACGCAGGTTCAAAAGGGAGAGGTGAGGGGGAATCACTCTCATATCCTGTTCTCTGTGCGCACTGATCCACAGAGGCTCGTGTTTATACACCCTCACATGACTAAGACCGAGCACGGGAGAGACGGAGCAGACAGAGGCAAGAGAGACGTGGCAGGGGAAGCAAAAGGTGTTTATTTTCCTTTACATACGTAAAGGCAGGATTTGTGGGACACGCGTGAAGGAGCGGAGGCTTCCTCCTGCTTTGTGTTTGGAGTCGGACCTCGTCGGAGCAGCTGCCATTCGTCTCTCCGAGCCAGACGGCAAACCAACTCTTCTAGATGGTGTCGACGCCTTAAAAAGCTTAATGGAACTGGAATAAATGAAATGGAAAATGTTACAAGATCACACAGTAAAAAAGAGAAACCAAACCAAGGAAAATATTAAACTGTCAGTTGAAAATGAAGTGCAATGCCTCCCAGCGTGTGATGACTGTGCTTTCTCGTTTAATTTCTGTACTGATTTGAAGAGCCATTTTCAATTTGTGGTTTTGTGCAATTACACGGCTCTAGAAGAAGATTGGTATCAGCCTCTGCAAGCTCAGTAGAATTAGCAGCTGATGAAATGGAGTTTGGCTCTATTGGTTTCAAAAATGGAGGCGACGGTTTTAAAGACCACCAGCTACTGGTGCTGCCTTATCTGTTTACACTGTGATCAATGAGTAGCTGAAGAGTCCTGAGAGAACCTGTTGACCTCCATAGATCTGACCCTTGACAGGACTTGACCCGTAGAGGGGCGTTCGACCGCTTCTGTGATAAGGAGAAACAAGTGAAGAGGGTTAGGCCACCTGGGTGTGTAGTCCAGTGTAGGACCCACTCACTGCAGATCTAGCACTCACTGCAGATGGATTAGCAGACTGCACATGTACATACATGCTCCTCAACTTAAAACATCGCTAGAACTGTTTAGAATTCCTTCACGGGTACTCAAAGGCAGTCAATAGAGGGGCCTCCCCCTGATGCATCTCTTCACATTGTGAGTTTTAACAGTATTCAGTGCTCTGATGGATCACTCTCCGTCTACCCTGCTTGAGGTTTGGAATATCAGTCTTGGATTCCGCCCTCGTTTGAGTTGTTTTGCGGGTCGGGCCGACCCTTGTTTGGAGAGTGATGGCCCCTCTTACGCTGCGGAGAACGATTCATCTTCGTCACTGGATGATCACTTTGCCACACCGGGGTAGTGACGCTTTACTCCCACCGCCGCGCTGGATGACGGATGGATGGACGGGCTTCCGTTCACAGTGACTGGCTCGCACCTGTCGTTCATATTAGTGTGGTTGCGTGAACACAATATGTATCTTCACTGTCGTCTGTGCCTCATCATACATCCATGCAGTACAGTCCCCCCCCCCCCCCTCCTTCCTACGATCAACACCTGGTCTTATTAATGACTTCTACAGTCGGATGTATTCGAGGAGTTCGCTACAATGCTGTCAGCCCCCCCATGCCCCCCCCCCCCGTGTGCTTTCTGCTCAGTGCATAATTGCCCCGGGGGACGGTGCAGGGCTTTCTGCGGTTCCCGTAGAGGATGATGCATTGAAAGTCTGTGCCACTGAGCGCCATGGATCACACACTTACGTTAAGTACATTTGTCCCCATTGAGCTCTTTAATCCACTCAAAAGAAATCCATCATTGTGGCTGCAATCTGTAATGCAGAGGATCTCTGTGAATTTCTGTGTGGAGAGTT